AACACTACTATCAAAATTATTTAAGAAATATTAAACTACACACGTCAAGATAATATCAGTCTGAGGAATGGTGTTAACTACACCCGTGATAAGGAAGATAAAATGTTCCTCTAGGTGTCTCCTAGAGTCCTAGACTCACGGTCTCAGTGTGTGACCATTAATATACTCAGATAGCCTCAGTGTACTCCCAGTGCGTCCATGGGCAGGAAGAGAGTGAGCCAATCAGACCTTGTGCAGTTGAGAGAAACTTTAGCTTCCCGTTAGCAAGAGGGTTTCACTAGCTGCTCGGGACATGTGGGGTTGTGCACCGGAGTGGTAAGAACTGATCACCCACTGCTGATGCTGGTCCCGTGTCGTGTTAGTTGTCGGGAGCACTCGTTCACTCAAGAGATCCTTTGCTACCCCGCTAAACAGTGACAGGCCTACACTGATCGGTCCAATGGCGACAATCGCCACCCTCAATCATCAACGGCAGTCAATCTCTCGCAGTCAACTCCGTCAACTCCAGTCAAGGGTCTTCTGACGGAAACCCTGAAATGAACTCACTGTTAGCTCTAGTTTACTTTATCACTGCCCTATCTAACCCTGTCTGAGATCGAATGAGACTTACTTGTTATACTGCAATAGCGCAGCACAGACTAGGCCACGTGACTATTTCTGATGGACGCGCGGAACGTCTTGTCTGTGTGAATGCTCTCCGGGACTGGCCTAGCCAGCGTCGCGTCTCCCCAAGGCGCTAGCTTGGGCCTACGTGATATATTTACCGCCTAACTAATAACTCCTTGGGACACCCGTAACATTATTCAGACTGCTAAACGATCTATAATAATTTCAAATTCAATAATAGTCCCTTAACTTCATGAATCGCATCATTATTAATTCGGTAAATCACATTCAATATCATATAGGCCTAGTTCCGCATATATATATATATATATATATATATATATATATATATATATATATATATATATATATATATATATATATATATATATATATATATATATATAAATATATATATATATATATATATATATATATATATATATATATATATATATATATATATATATATATATATATATATATATATATATATATATATATATATATATATATATATATATATATATATATATATATACAGTGACCCCTCACGTTACGCGGTCAATTGAACCCCCGGAGGCCCGCGTATAGCAAGAAACTCGTAAAGTGAACAACATAACGTATGGGATTAATTGAAATAGAGACCGGGCCGACCCCCAAACTCCACTTTTTCCCGACACAATACCTATGTTCTAGTAAAAATAACATTTTAATTTTATGATGGTACATGCACACAATTAATATTTAAGAGAAATAAAGAAATACCGTCGCCAAGTTAATGTCCATTCAAATAATGGACTCAACTCCCTCCCCCTCTTCTTACACTCGCTGGCTCTTCCTTCTCTGAGAAATGTTTGGGGGAAAACACTAGATTTTAAGGTCTAGTAATAAATAATACCTCAAACTAAAGATAGGATAATATAGTTCACATTGCTGGATTCCTTGCAAGAACAGGAATATTTTGAATATACACGTCATATATTTTGCACAAAAGATAACATATTTGCTCAGAGTAAACAAAATACTTACATTAGATCTAAAATTTGTATGTCTAATGCAAAATCTATGATGTTTATATTCAAAATGATCATCAAATTGTAAGAATTCCAGCATTGTAAATTATATTCTGGCTGGGTAATTTGTATGAATTTTATGAGCTAAAACAAATATCTTCAGTTAATAAAAAAAAAAAATATATTCTTCACGAAACTATCTGTCAATCAAAATACCCCACCTTGCCTCCCCCCCTCCCATCTTCCCACCACGCCAGCTGGGTCTGTCAGTCCCTCCCTCCCCCCCACCTTCCCTCCCTACCAGAGAAATGTTTGGGAGAAAACAGAATATTTACCTTTTTAGTAATAAGTAATACCTCAGACTAAAGTTAGGATAATATAGTTCACATTGCTGGATTCCTTGCAAGAACAGGAATATTTTGAATATACACGTCATATATTTTGCACAAAAGATAACATATTTGCTCAGAGTAAACAAAATACTTACATTAGATCTAAAATTTTTATGTCTAATGCAAAATCTATGATGTTTATATTCAAAATGATCATCAAATTGTAAGAATTCCAGCAATGTAAATTATATTCTGGCCGGCTAATTTGTATGAATTTTATGAGCTAAAACAAATATCTTCAATAAATAAACAAAATATACTTACCCAAATACTATCTGTCAATCAAAATACCCCACTTCCCCTCCCTCTTCCCACCTGCTCCCTGGGTCCCTCCCTCCCTCCCCCTCACCCCCACCTTCCCTCCCTACCAGAGAAATGTTTGGGTTATAACAGTATATTTACATTTTTAGTAATAAATAATACCTCAGACTAAAGTTAGGATAATATAATTGACATTACTGGATTCCTTGCAAGATCAGGAATATTTTGAATATACACGTCATATATTTTGCACAAAAGATAACATATTTGCTCAGAGAAAACAAAATACTTACAGTAGATCTAAAATTTGTATGTCTAATGCAAAATCTATGATGCTTATATTCAAAATGATCATCAAATTGTAAGAATTCCAGCAATGTAAATTATATTCTGGCCGGGTAATTTGTATGAATTTTATGAGCTAAATAAAAAATTTATACTTCACCCGTGTATATGAGTAGCGTATATGAGTAGATGCACCGCGTAAAGTGGGAATTCCGGTTCTGGCAGGGTACCGGGGTATTACTGTATATTATTTATATATTTTATTTTTTTCAAAGGATAATATGTTTTAAAATAGCTTTAAAATAATAATTAGAATAAAAAGTGCTTGAAACGAATACAGTATTTTTTGGCTTGGAAGACGCTGCATCGTGGTAGACGCACCCTGATTTTGGAAATGAAATTCTATATTTTTTTTTTTTTTATGGGTATTAGCCCACCTGGGCACAGGTCACTGACCCACATCGGGGCCTAGGGGGCAAAAATGTAATAATAATAATAATAATAATAATAATAATAATAATAATAATAATAATAATAATAATAATAAAAAAACATACAGAAATACAAAAAAAAAATCAATAGTGAGAAACAATATATGTATGTTGTGTTGTCAAAGTAAGAGAAACAATTGAGACCCTGCAATTGTGTGTAAATGAGGCAGAAAGTCAGATCAGCAACCTGGGACTTGGTCTCAATTCTCGTGATGCCATTGGCAGCAGGGTCTACCAATATCTTCCCAGGCAGTAGTACCTCCCTGTTTGGTAGCTGCCTACTACCGGCACCAGTGAAACTGTTGCTTGATAATTATACAGCCCTTTTGGCACAAGTACACCTCTTTGAATATCATCACTTAGAACTGCTATCAGTCGTCATTTTCATCAATTTAAAAAAAAAATCTGTATAAGATGAAATCTTTAATACAGCACTCATTTTATACACTTGGCTCCCTCCACATCTAGCGGGCTTTAGTGTATACATTCTTCCTCCTGTTTTTGTCGGTATGACAACGACGGGAAATATATTCCAGCAGTAGAAGGTAAGCAAATGTAAACATGTATCAACGTCTAAATAAAACAAAAAATCTTTATTTAAAAACAAAAAAATATAAGTAAAAAACAACTCGTTGTTTGCAAAACCAGTGACTGATTGGTTCTACATAATTATAAAACTGAAGAATATTAGACCCCAGTTGTAGCTGTAGTAAAATTGATGTAAAATTATTGATATGGTTGTTTTAAGTAATGTTATTTAATGTTAATAAATGGAACAATGGAAATAGCTAACCATTAATGGTAAAGAAAATAGTGAGATGGCGTATGTAAGTGAGCACATGTGTAAACATATCGTCATTACTCTACGTAAGAATATGAAAGCAACACTTATTTACTGTTCATATATATTTTAATTAATGTTTCTGAATTTAAAACAAAAATTCTACCCACCAGTGGTGGTAAAGTTGAAGACATAAGGACAGCCAATGTTGTTGTGTGTGTGTTTTTACTTGGATGATGAAGTTGTATTTAAATCTGGAAGATTTTAATTTTGTGGGGTTTTTACAGTCTAAATGGGTATCCAAACATGAGAGCCTACTGTAAATAGGTGTCCAAATATGAGAGCCTACGAATAAAGAAACAAACATTCCTGCGCTTTGAGACCAGCAGACAACCTTTAGCACTCCTCAATAGATGGCGCTGCCGCACCACTGCCATTAGTAAACAAACCGCACAGTAGCATGTTTTTTTTTTTTGCAATATATCAACAATATTAGTTAAATCAATAGTTTTATAGTACTGTATAGAGAATACATGTAATTGTTAAGTACTGTAATGAGGTAACAGTCTTTGTAAGGGGCTCATTTCAGTTGACCCTAAGAAAACCTCTGCTACAACTATCAACTAACGTCCTGGAAGACGCATGGTAATTTTCAAGGTATATTTTTGTCATAAAAAGTGCTTCTTTTAAGCCGAAAAATACGGTAACAAGCAATGTTCAGGGATGTGTAAGGTTGACTTCAAGGAAATCTGTTGAACTCTGATTTAATGTGCTTGAAAGAAAATAAAAGCACAGTAATCCTATTAGCTTAGAATGAATTAGGGTTTCTCTTTTGAACTACCGGTACCCATTGGGGTATCTGTTGGCCTTTTTGACAATTTTGCAATGGCACATAACACAAATTCTTAATGTAGATAAGAATAAATACCAGATTTAACACATTGAAATTATATTATTCATTACAGTTGTACAATATTTCAGCTTAATTATGGGGTAAATAAGCCTTCATGTCTATAAGAAAATTAGTTCTAAAAGAAAGACATATGAACAAGACTTTGAAATACATCCTGTTGGTTAGTTGGGGACTTCCTGTACTTGTATAAAGGTTCCTGAATTTAATAACATATATTTGGTTGAAGATTGATGTTTGATCTTTAAAATGTTACAGGAACCTTCTTTCAAACCTCACAAGATTTTCTTGGAAGAGGAGCAAGAGGAGAAGCCACGATTGAGAAGATTAGATGATGATGATAAACTTCCAACTCAAATCCCTCCAACATCCTCTTTTAAGTCGAAACACTTGACACAGGAGCACGATGTGATTGAAAAATCAGACTCTGCAATTCCAGTAACTTCAAAGGTTAACAAAACTCAAAAGCATGAACACAAATCTGTTTCAGTATTGCTCTCAGAGGATGAACATACAATCAGTATGCTTAAAACAGTGAAAACACCAGAACAAGATTTGCACGAAGTTGAAACGAGAGAAAAGAGTGGAAGTGATGCAAGAAACAATAAAAATGAAAACATATTACATTGTTTAGCAGACATTAATTCTCAAGAGAGTAATAACATTAATAAAACTGAAACAGGTAACACCAACAAGTACACCAATGACTGGAAAAGACCAAATACCCCAGAAATCTCCTCACCAAAAAATTCCAAGTGTGATGGTTCAGAGGAGAGCCCTTTTGAGAAAAAACCAAGGATAATAGGTCCCAGCTTGCCCCTGCACTTGGCACATATTAAGACAGAATACCAGGTAAGATGCTTGTTATTTTTATGTACCATGGTTCATCGTCAAGTGTCTTGCAAGGTAACCTACTATAACACCCCACAGAACCTGCATCATACTGGGGATAATCTGTGTTTTTGAAACAAGTTTATTCTCCTTTTGAATCCGTGCAAGGCTATATAAGCAGCTACTTCCTCATATGAACCAGGGAAAGTGGAGGCAGTGAGTCAACAGTTGCACCATAAAGTTTTAACTAGTTCTCTTGATCCAAACCCCCATTCCTAAACTTGGGAATCGGACAACATTTATCTTCCTTAACCTTGTTATATCCATTCTAATTCCATTATACCCATCCCCACCTAAAGTATCGGCGAGCTAGCTGTAGTACAGTGGGGTCTCATTTTGCTTGGGTATATTGTACTGGTACACAACCATGCCTCGGAAATCCACACAAGCAATGCCTTTTAAAGTGTTAAAATCGCTAGAAAGATTTTGGGTAACCAACTTAACCTTCCAAAAAGACACATAATGTCACATAAACTGCATCCACATTATTAAATAAATATTTTAAAGAAAGCCCAAGAAGTTAATTACATGATAATGCACCGAATTGTGGAGGTGTGGGAAGCTCTGGGAGATGGTGGGAATCCAGGCAGGGGGTGAAGACTAGTCAGATTGAAAGCCTTCAAAATCAACTGCAGACACTTGTGAAGTGGCTTTAGCTTCTTTATAAGCCCCCAAATATTTTTTGGGGGAATGTGACCAATATCATGATTATTTTGAGGCCATGTGCACTTGATATTAGCAGATATTCTGAGGTCAATAGTAATTACCTTTTCCATAATTTACTATAACTGAAAGTGGAAGATGATCAGAATAAACGAGCAGTTCCAACAAAGGTACAGTAGTACCCCGCTTAACGCGGTCAATAAAACCCACAGGGTACCGTGTTAAGTGAAAACCGCGCTAAGTGAACAACAGAACATATGGGATTAATTCCAATAGAAACTGGCCTGATCCCCAAACTCCACTTTTTCCGACACAATACCTATGTTCTAGTAAAAATAACATCTTAATTTTATGATGGTACATGCACACAATTAATACTTAAGAGAAATAGAGAAATACAGTCGCCAAGTTAATGTCCATTCAAATAATGGACTCAACTCCCTCCCCCTCTTCTCACACTACACTGCTGGCTCTTCCCTCTCTGAGAAATTTTTGGGGGAAAACCACTAAATTTTAATAAATAATACCTCAAACTAAAGTTAGGATAATACAATTGACATTGCTGGATTCTTTGTAAGACCAGGAATATTTTGAATATAAATGTCATATATTTTGCACAAAAAATAACATATTTACTCGGAGTAAACATTAGCCTATATCTAAAATTTTTATGTCTAATGCAAAATCTATGATGTTTATATTCAAAATGATCACCAAATTGTAAGAATTCCAGCAATGTAAATTATATTCTGGCCGGGTAATTTGTATGAATTTTATGAGCTAAAACAAATATCTTCAGTTAATAAAAAAAAAAAATATTCTTCACGACACAATCTGTCAATCAAAGTACCCCACCTTGCCTCCCCCCCTCTTCCAACCTTGCGGTCAGTCCCAACCCTCCCCCCCACCCCCCACCAATCCTCCCTTCAAGAGATGTTGGGTGAAAAAACTAAATTTTAACATTTAGTATTAAATAATACCTCAGATTAAAGTTAGGATAATATAATTGACATTGCTGGATTCCTTGTAAGACCAGGAATATTTTGAATATAAATGTCATATATTTTGCACAAAAGATAACATATTTACTCAGAGTAAACATTACATCTAAAATTTGTATGTCTAATGCAAAATCTATGATGTTTATATTCAAAATGATCATCAAATTATAAGAATTCCAGCAATGTAAATTATATTCTGACCGGGTAATTTGTATGAATTTTATGAGCTAAAACAAATACCTTCAGTTAATAAAAAAAAAATATATTCTTCACACGGTAACAGATGGTCAGTCGGTCCCTCCCTCCCCCCCACCAACCTTCCCTACCAGTTATGTGGGGAAAACCAGAATATTTACCTTTTTAGTAATAAATAATACCTCAAACTAAAGTTAGGATAATATAATTGACATTGCTGGATTCCTTGTAAGCCCAGGAATATTTTGAATACAAATGTCATATATTTTGCACAAAAAATAACATATTTACTCAGAGTAAACATTATATCTAAAATTTGTGTCTAATGCAAAATCTATGATGTTTATATTCAAAATGATCATCATATTGTAAGAATTCCAGCAATGTAAATTATATTCTGGCCTGGTAATTTGTATGAATTTTATGAGCTAAAACAGGCAGTCAGGCAGGGTGGGGGGTGGGGCGAATCTAAAAATAGCTCTCGAGCCGGACACTCACCGCGTATATGTGGAGAAAACCTGCGTTAAGTGAAAGTTCGGCTCTGGCGAGGCACCGCGTATACGGTAAAACGCGCTAAGCGAAACCGCGTTAAGCGGGGTAATACTGTACAGTAATACTCTATTAATAAAGAGGGATTTGAAAATTATTATATAGAAATTAAATAGAAGTTAGTCATGCAGTACAGAACTATAAAACATCCTTCGGTCATTTTTCTGAATTAACTTTTGGCAAATGGCATTTATGCCAATATCGCAGCTGTGGTGAAGGTGCATCAGCATGAGGCCAGTGAGTCGCTCCTCTGACATGGTTGCTCGCAGAAAGGTTTTTGCTCATTTGAGTCCACTAAATGATCTATCTGCTTCACAGCTTCCAATTGGTAGTGTGCATCCTATTCTAAGTAGGACAACAATATTTGGAAACTGATCCCCATCCACCACCTTAATGCAGCTAAGCAGGCTGGTCAACATTCTGCCTCTGAAAACAGTTACACACGTTCAGATCTACTGTATGTTCTGTGACTGAAGATATCATATACATGTACAAAAATGACTGACACTAGCATGTATATATGTATATTTTAGTCATTATGAATATTATTACTGTACAGCAAAAAAGAAACGTTAGATGCCTTCCAATTTCATATCTTAATTTAACTAAACCCATTTATAAAACATATCATACACAAAATATGGCTGTTTTTAGCTTGCATGGACAGTCTTGTTAGATGCCACATGGGAGACTCAGATATTGTATATTAATAACTATATAATTGAAAAACAAAGCAAATGACTTATTGATATATTCTCATACCTGCCAATGGGTCACCCACTCATGTAACTCGTTGGTGAGGGAAGAAGGAACTGGAAGATCTGCCTCCCAAAACTTCAGCTTCAGACAAGTGTCTTCAGCATTAAAGCAATTCATAGTGTTAACTGGCAGCAGGGAAAATATTGCTTGGCTTGGATGAGTGTCCTCAGTTTTGAATCTTGTTTTTATCTCAGAGATAGTATAATCAATGAAAGGGATTGCAACATTCCTTTTGAATGGTTCCTGCGTGGAACTTGCTGCAGCATTAGCCCTCATTGTTGCTTTCCTGTGATCCTTGGAATCTCAATTGCACATCTAACATCATCTGCCATTTTCTCACAGGTTATGTACCATAAAGTAAACTCTGTGTCGGAAGTAGACCTTATTTCTTGAAGCCTTGCAGTTGCACTTTGAACCAGTAAATATCCTGATCTCGTTTTAGCAGTTTTTTTGCCAGACATCGAAGAACTTCCAACTTGCTTCTCATAGTTTGGAAAGCCACGATGTTAGTAAAAGACCAAGTTGAATAAGAGTCCTTGAGCCCTTTCCCTGGTATCACAATCGCAAGACCAATCTTCAATCTGGTCAACATCAACATCCTCCGTTTGATTCCTTCTGTACATCTCTGGGAATGAGGGTGGGTCAATAATGCAATCCAGGGCAAGAACCACATATGAGTAGTACAGTTCTTTTTCTCACTTGAACTGGAAGGAGAAGTAGATGCTAACCATTTAGACATTTTGGTAAGTGGTGCACATGGTAAACTTAAAGGAATTGCAAGAGTAAGAAAAAGCGTCCTTGACTCTCAGTGAACACAGGCTGAATGACCCAGTGGCTACAGCTGGGGAAGCGCACATGTGCGGTGGCTGCACTGTATTGTCAAGGCAGGTAAAGGTAATTTGAAATGCTTACAAGATTGGCTTTTCTTGGAAAAAATCTTACAGTATATAGGAAACTGGTAAAAATTTAGGAAGCCACAAAATATAAAAAATTCAGAATAAGTGCTGAATAACCTGAGGCTACTGTGTATGGTTGGGGGAAGGTGGTATTTAATATTGAATACTACTATTACAATACTATAGATGGCTGCTATAAGGTTGGAAAATTATTATTTAATATTGAATAATACTGTAGATGTCCATTGATTTTTTATATTGATTTTTTTTATGCAGAATCCTACCAAAACCAAGAAAAGGCAAGATAAAAAAGGCAGAAAGTACGATGAAGATAGTCCAAACTATGACAGCTGGACTCCTCCAAATCAGCAGAGTGGAGATGGACGTACTTCACTGAATGACAAATTTGGTTATTAATAACTACCAGTACTTACAAGTTTCATATGGCTCTGGATCAGCTGCCAAAGCAACAAAGTGTTTTTGGTGAAATCTCTTGATGATTTTTTTCTCATATGATTTTGTCATGCAATACCAATCGTAATAAAAAGTTATTTTACAGTATCAGAATTAGTTAGGCTTAGTAACCAAGACAAAATTATATTTTGCTAATTGTAATGTATCATCAAAAATGTTTTTTCTCATAAATACTGTAATGTATAAGAAAATTAATGCAGTACTGTAATACAGTTTTCATAAGTATTACAGATTAAGTTTTAATTATGTACAGTAATGGCATGTTTTTCATCATGTAAGTATATTGAGGTTTGTGGAAATAAGTGGAGAGAATACTTACAGTTAACCCTGAAACTCTGCGGGCTTTATCCTGTTCATCCCAACATTCAGCTTGGGGGAGGGAGAGTTGTATCACATATGTCAATTTTTTGCTATTTTCTTCCCCATGGCAGCAGGTGGGGTGGGGTTAAACATGGTTCAGCCTGCCCCTGGTCTTGTAAGTAATATGCTGTTACTAAATAAAAGAAACGTTCAGAAAAATTCTGTAAAATAATCAAACTGATTTTCACTGTACAACCAGTCATCTGTCCATGATTATATTTACAGGAGCACCTCTCTAACTTAATAATCATTGCAGCACCTAAAATAAGTTATAGTAGATTTTGAGGTACTGTATAGAGAATTAGCTACCCAGACCCCCAAAATTCAAAACCATCATACTATAAACCCACACATGGCAGTGGAATTCTATCGTCATTATAAACTAAAAGAATGCTTCAGAAGTAACCTAGACCACACAGTAGGATAGCTGGGAAAGGTAGGAGGGTTAAGAACTTATAAACCTAATCTTTACATATTTTAGTCATACTCAAGATATGTATCCACACACATACACTTCTGTAGATACAATGGTAAAACAATGGCTTTCAGTTAATAACAAAGTACGGACAAAAAAAAATTATTTGAAAAATTCTTTATTTAAACTGTCTAAATATTACGCAGGTATGTACAGTTACTTTATACAGTTGTATTATGTGTTAATTAAAAATAATTAAAACGAGAAGCAAGTAAATGTGGTGTGATATTAGGGAAGTCAACTGGATTGGAGTAGCGGCGACGCGTCATCTGCTGCCTGTCTCACACGGCCCTTACCATACCACCACCACTGCGCCATTAACACACACACGAATGCACGACTAACATGCAATGCTGTGAATGAAACGTGTACAAACAGTACTGAATATTAGTTTTCCTGTAACAAACTTATGACTGGGAAGAATATATAATTTATCCCATTCATAATTGTAATATCAACATTATGGAACAATATAATTAACGTTTTGTCAGCCTTCCTCACCGCAACAACACCCTCTTTGATGAGAGTTTGGAGACAACCCGAGTCTCTCAAAATAGTGACTGGTGTTTCGACACCGTCAACTTCTACCGTGCCTTGTGACAAAAAGGGACGAAAGGTACCAACGTCTGGGTCCTTCCCAAAACTCTCCTGGAAAAGATCAAAGTCTCGTGAGGCGAGAACCGAAACTGCAACCTCTCGTGCTTCACCTTATTTGGCTGCGGCCTTCTCCAACAAAAATACGCCTTATGACCCGGCTTTCCACAGAAACTACAATTAAATTAGAAAATTAGGACGCCCCATTAGGTGGCGAACGAGTCCATCTCCTCTTGTCATGTACAAAATTATTACGCACAAAATTACCATTGTTAGTCCTACCATGCCTCAAAACAAATCCATCAGCATGCTTAGAAAAAAAATCACAAGTGTCAAAATGTCGTTAGTGAATCCTGGCAAGGTCGCCAAAACTGTTACCCGTCTCTTAATTTACTTAAATATCCAGGTTCTAGGCGTAACCAAACAAAAAGTGAAGTAAATTAAAAGAGAATAAAAATAAATAAAGTAAACCTTTAAGAATTTAATTAATTAAATATTAACACAATAAAGAGCCTCGTAGGCTGTCACAACAAATTGATTCACCATCGAAACTTTTAAGACACAAATGATACTAAACATCGAAACATCAAAAGAATAATAATAAAGCATTGGATTACGTTAACACTGCATTAACATGTAAAAACTAACACTGAAATTAACTAACGTGAAAGAACACTGAATAACTTAAATGTATCTAAGCAAATACTGATGGAAACAAATAGACATAAATAGGTACTCGCATAGATATGCCACATTGGTGGCGACAGGAACAACACAAATAAATTAGGTATAAGTAACAGGTGACGAGTGTCACTCAAAGGATGTGGACTGTATGACAAGAGGACTGAACTGACTCCGTCAGTTGGTGGGTCCTATATATAAGGTCGGCTCCCGCCACGCGACCCACCGGTGGGTCGTTTAACGATGCAGATGGTCGTTAGAGAACAAAGAATACTGGTTACAATACAAAATGGGTTTGAACAAATAATAACAGTTAAAACCTTAACAGCACAGGGTTAAGGTGACGAGATTATATAATAGTAAATACAACACATCATTACAGGAATAATATGGAACATGGAAGCATGTTATATAAAAAAAATAGAAATATACGACACGGTCGTAACACCATACAAAGAGATAATAGACAACTAAAGAGAATTGACAACTGGCCACATACAGTACGCTACAATAGTATCAAGAAATAACGGTAGATACTGTAGGTAAATAATAGACACAATATACAAATACAAAATTTATTTATACATTAATATGGAGGTAGGAGAAAGAATATATATATGTACCAACAGACGAAATCTGGTACTATGCCCTCAGGCTCAACATACTCACACCACTACTGGGTGGACATACTCAATAACACAAACTCTTACAGTAACTTAGCACCATTAAGACCAGGGGCAACTGCCACTACAACACTCAGTAGTCAGGAGTGATACTCAAGCAACCGCCATGGGGTCCTGCCACCATGGGTACTTTCCAACGAACTCTGAAGATTCCAGTGGAATAACCCCACCACACAAATAGCCCTACTGAGTTAGACACTCATCCACCAATGATGGTAGTGGCAGTGGTGTGTGGCTTGGTGATCCGGGGTCACCTCGCGGGCCGAGCGTTAGGGTCAGACGAGCCAGCTATGGGGCCCATAGGTAGTCTTAAGTGTCTGACGGTCAGGTCTCACGAAGGTAACTAATCCTACTGGACCTCGGACATCTCCCCAGACATAGTGGATACAACATCCACGCTACAGACACGGTCTAGGCTGCGTTAGGGACCTGTATGGGTGAAGGGGCGAGCACTTACTAACGGTGACAACGACATCACGTTGCAGGGGACGTTAAAGACGTAAATATCACTTCACTCAGAGCATATCAACTACGTTACTGTAACACTTGCACAATCAACTATCAATTGGGTCAAATCACGTAAAGAAGGGCGAATTACAACACAGAGTGGAATGACCTACCTGTATGGGTGAAGGGGCGAGCACTTACTAACGGTTGAAATGCCCGCGGCACTCTCACTCAAAATAGGTCAGGGAGTCCACCTACTTCTATTTTACTGTACACTCTGATGTTGAAACTGAGACTATGAACTCAGTTTCATTCCCTACTATTATCTTCACTAACAATGCTCTGCCTGAGCTATCAAAAGCAAAATTAAATTGATTACAAAGGGTTGAATGGCAACAGGTCCCAACATACAGCGTCTTGCTACAAAATCTGCGGATTATATTCAAAGTTCCCTTTAGACAAAGACGGCCTATCGATGACGTCATCAAGGAAACAGAGAAAACGGGGGACGTTTCCACTGGGGGACTCAGAAGGTTTTGTGGACGTTTGAGCGTAATATGAATCCTTAAGGTTTTCAGGTTAGCCGTCATCACGATCATGACATGGAAGATAATTTTCTTCTTCCATCAGTTCTTTAAATTCAACTAAAAACTTTGCTGCCCCTTCCTTATCAGCACTAGCAGCTTCACCATGCCTAACAACACTGAAAATGTCACTTCTTTTCTTAATTTTTTCGAACCAGCCTTTGCTGGCCCGAATATCTTCAAATCCTGTGCCTGAAGAACCAGGTTGATCTGTCTTTAAATGTTCGTAAATCTCCCTGGCTCTTCCACAAATGAATTCAGTAGAAACTGAATCACCTTTCATCTGTTTTTCCCTAATCCAGATGAGAAGTAACCTCTCAGTTTCTGCAATTAGGGATCTACTTTTAAACACTCTTGTAGATTTGTCTCTCACTTTCACTTCTTTAAATTTGTCTTTCTGTGCAAGAATTGTCGACACAGTTGATGTCGACATGCCATATTCTTTGCATAGCGCATTTGTTCTAATGCCTTGTTCATGTCTTTTTATGATTTCCTGCTTGGTTTGGATTGAAATCGCTTTTCTTGATTATTAGGCCCCATGCTGGATTCAAACAATGCCAACACGTGTTTTTTAAAGTTAAACTTGTTGTAAATAAAGAAATTTTTCTTTAAAATAACACCGCACTGCACTCTATATTGTCAATATGTAAAATAAATTTCAAAATGACCAATAATTTGCTTGGAAACACAGAAAAAAGCGTTTAGTTGAAGAGAGTCTCAAGCAAGATGTTACCTCCAGTGAAAACAGAGAGAGACTAACGCTTGTTTGTTGTGTTAAGAGGCTGGATGCCGTGCATTAAACTATTCACTTTACCTTCAATTATGTTCAATAATTGTTAAAATGACTAAAAAATTTAATATTAAACTTAAAATTATTGAATAGTATAAACTTCTTGATATTTACTAAAATAGTAAGGAATTTAAGCCCTAGAACCGATTAATGTATTGGCGGACTAATACTAAAGCTGGTTGACCGCCAAGTGCAAACCAAAACTTGTTGAGGGCGTCTCGTAAGAAACTCGTTAACCGAGAGGTTGCTCGTTAACCGAAGTTAACCGAAATCTCGTTAACCGAGGCGCTCGTTAACCAAGGGACCACTGTATAGGCAACATTAACAATAACTTGTTAATTTTTTTCAGAGGAAGACTCCTTGGTTTATTGTAGTAATGTGTCTGCTTTAATTAACTATTTTGACATTACCTATACAGCTACTGAATGGAGGTTGTTCATTGATTTTTCAAAAACAAGTCTCAAAGGAGTTTTACTTCATAATGGAAATGTATTTTCATCAATTCCTGTGGCTCACTCTGTTCATCTTAAGGAAACTTATGAAAATTTGCAGATACTTCTAGAGAAAGTTCATTATAAAGATCATGGTTGGTTGGTTTGTGGAGATTTAAAAGTCAATGCTTTGTTGCTTGGTCAACAGAGTGGATACACGAAAATGTCATGTTTTTTGTACGAGTGGGACAGCAGACCAAGACATGAACATTGGGACAAAAAACACTGGCCACCTAGACACCTAGTTCTTGTGCCCGGTTCAAAAAATATTCTACACGAACCATTGATTGACCCTAAGAAAGTGCTGTTGCCTCCTCTGCATATTAAATTAGGGTTAATGAAACATTTTGTAAAAGCCCTAGATAAGGAAAGTGATTGTTTCAGGTACATATGCAGGGAATTTCCATCAGTTATATATGAAAAAATCAAAGG